TATTTCTTTTGAAGAGTAAACGACTTTTTCCCACCAGGGTTTGCCTTACTTACACTTTTCTATTTAAAAAGTTTTAAAATACTATTTTTCTACTCAAGTTTATATTTTGTTAATACTAAAAGTTAATTCTAACGGCATAAATTATCTTTGTTACCATCATTTGAATATCTAGTCTCTTATTTATAAAACCCTTCTCACTCGGGTATTTGATTTTTCGTCGATTACCGACCACAACAAAACTATGGTTTCTTGTTCTTAGTCGATTTTCAATTGATTCCGATGACGAATATTCAATCAATCACTATAATTTGATTCACCGACCTCCACTTTATAAAACCTCTCTTGCCTGGTAACTCGTCGAATGCCAGTTGAGAAGGTAAAATGTATTTTAGATATTAATGGAATATAAACTTTGGGTGAGAATGTGACATTTTAAAATTCTTTGGGTGCAAAAATGTCATTAAGACAAGCCTTGGGTGGGAAACGTGTATACTCTTCTTTTAAACCTGATTTTGATTCGCATCTATTCTGTCTTTTGTGCGTGTCAAATCAGTTAAGCTTTTTTTAACCAACTAATATAATTGATGCTTTAAAATTGAGTAGGGGAGCGGGAATCAGTCAATTTAACTGATAATTTCGCGGAAGTTTCTCGTTTTCAAATTTCAACAATATTATTGACCTTGGACCCATTACTTTTCAGTTACTATCCTGATTTCTCAGTACATGTCAAAGATACTCATGACACCAGAAAAGAGTGATCAGTGAATGATAATTTCCCACCAAGGTTCACCTACTTTTATTCAGTTCACCCGTTAAGTTTAACGGAAGAAGGACAAGATAATAAATTCACTAAAAGCCGAAAAACCAACAAACTTAATTGAGGAAGATTAAAACACTTGGGCTCAGATTAGTTCACATATTAGGTTTTCCCAAAAAAGTTAACTTTATTTTACCTATTTTCAAAATAGTTTTCTAAATTATTCAATTCCTTTAATCCCCCTAAATTTATTAATTTAACTAAACAACCCTCAATTTTTTTTCAAAATTGACAAAAACACCCCAGCAACCCAAATTTATCAGATTCCGACCACCACTGTCAGAATCTGACCCAAATATGGTGTAATAGCGCACTACCGACTGAATCTTGCAGGTAGTATGCCGATCTAGCCTTTTTCAGTCATATCGACGTACGACTGGCAATATCGAGTCGGTCATACGCTGATACGGCAACTCCGGCCACCCTCCGGCGGTGGTGGCCGGCTGTTCTTATTTATGAGTGGATTGGGGGGTGTCTTGTTAATTTTGAATATTATATTTAGGGCTGTTTATTAAATAAATAAATATAGGGGGTATTTATGTTAATTTTTAAAATTCTACATCGTAATACCTGCCCAATTTAACATTTTTCAAAAGATTATTCTAAAAACTACCCAATAATGAATCAAACGGAGCCTTGAAATCTCTTTGGAATTTCAACGTCCAATCTAGACATTGAAATTCTGATTACTTTGATAGAAAAACTCAGTTTCTCTTACAAATTCTAGTCCAATTCGAATTTCTTTACATTTTCCAAATAAATTCTCTTTGTACAGGAAACAAATCAAAACTCAGTCATTAGCCTTGTGGTTAGTTCATTGGGTTTATAGGGTGTTCAATAGATTTCGAGAATTAATTAGAGTGCATACAAACTGATCCAGACATCCCGATTAACAAAAAAATAAATAAATAAATAAAAACTTTGTAACTATACAAAAGAATTAACTTTCTTTGTCAAAGAAAACTCTATACTATCGGATTGGATTTTTCTTTTTTTGTCTTTTTTTTGTTTTTTGTGTGTGTTTTTCTAATTTAAGAGGATTGAAAGACGAAAAGAAAGAGAAGATGAAATATATTTTTGTCTTTACAGTGATTATACTATATCAATTAACAGATCTCACCAATGCATCTTAACAATGGGTGAGAAATTGTTTTTCTCAAAGTTTTCGGGTCCAAAAAGGTAGTTACACCAAACCTTGCGTGGAAAATTGTAATTCCCCGACCACAAAGTGCTTAAGTTGTTTGACAAAACAAAATGAGAATTGCTAAGAACACTCCTTTTGACACTTTTTATATACTATCTCATTCTTCTTACAACGTGTATAAAAGATAAAATCACTAATTCTCTTATTATAGTATCAACTTATCAGTTTTTATTTTTTTAATACATGTGTAGTGAATGAGAAAATATAAAAATAAAGTGAAAGTCTTTATGAATCCACTCATCCACTCGTGTTGGGCTAAATTGTATTTGTCCTTTGGTTCATGTTTATTGGATGTGTTTAATTTTTTCTTATTGTGGAATGAGAAAGACACACGAAAGTGTGAAAAAAAAAAAAAAAAAGTAGGTTAAATGTTACCAAAATTAAATGTAACTCAAAATAAATAAATAACTCTGAAGGATGAGGTGTAATAGGATCCGAGATTTAGGAATAAAAATTATGTTTAGAATAATTTTTTATTTTTTTAATGTTTTAATTCAAGTTTTTGTATTCAAATAATATAACACCAACGATTAAATGATCTTATAATCATTTTATTTTCTTAGATAAATTGATTGAGATGACCAGAATAGATAGTTTTAAAGTTGCATTTGCTTGAGGGTAATTCCTTGTTATTCTAGTAATATCATTTTATATTACTATCATTATCATGTTTAGTTGTTAAATAATAAAAATTTTCGATAGTCCTTCAATATCAATAATAACTACTGTAAATTTTATAGGGGTAATATGAATACCATCTCTGTCTCTGGTATTCTAAGATAATCTAATAATTTTAATTTTGTTACAATTTTACTCATAATTACTAATATTATTAATAATATAATATAATAACACTATTAATAATATATAATATAATATAAATTTTGTTACAATTTTACTCATAATTACTAATATTATTAATAATATAATATAATAACACTATTAATAATATATAATATAATATAACACATTTATAATATAATATTATTAATAATTATATTATTATATTACATTATTAAATTAAATATAATAACGATATAATATTAATAATATTATTAAAAAAGAAGGGTAATTAAGTAAAAGACTTCTCCTAGAATTCTTTTGTTCCTTCTAATTGAATATATTAATTATTTATACCCACCAATTTATTTAAATCTTACCAAACATATTTAATATAATATTCCTAGTAATCTTTAAGGTGCGTTTGGTTAAGAAAATGTTGTATTATTGGGAATGTCTAGGAAAATGTATTCAGTTAAGTTGGAATAAATTGGTGGATATGTTATATAAATTATTAAATTACCCTAATTTTTTAAATATTAATATAATATTATTTTTAAATGCTTTTTGAACCCATACATTTGAGATTTTGCTAAAACACCCCAACCATATAAAAGTTTAATTTCTAACAAAATCACCCCTACTCAACTAAGCCATTGCCAGTCGCGATGGCAGTGGTGAAAACGATGCACGACGGTTGGATCTAGTCGGTTGATCCATCCATGGATCTAGTCGAAAACGGCCAGAGAACCTGCCGTAGTTAACAACTAGAGTTCTGATCGTTGATGACCGTAAGTTGGCCATCAACAACGACCAATCTATCTAGTAGTTGTTCGTTGACGACGACTAGAAGATGTAGATTTGGCCGTTTCTGACCATAGATATAGCCATAAACAACCAGATCGACGCACAACTGGTTATATCCGATCGGTGGTGTGCTGTTCTGGTGCCGACATCCAACAATTGGCGGTGGTGGCCGGCCATCGACCATTGCCATGGTAGCCAGATCCGGCCATAAGTCTTGGGTAATTTTTTTCAAGTGTAGGGCTCCGTTTAGTTCCCTTTTGGGAATACTACTATTAGTATTCCCAATAAAGTTAAACAGTAAAATTGTAAAAACTCACAATGTTATTCAATATTATTCAACTTTTTTTAAACCCCTTAAATTTGTTAATTTAATTAAATACCCCTAAATATTTTTTTTAGAAATTATAAAAACACCCCAACAACCCACGTTTATCATATTCCGGCCAGATCTTTGGTCGTAACCAGTCGTCAACGACGACTACGGCCAGATCTGGCCATCAATGGCCAGATCTAGCCATAGATCTGTGGATTTGGCCGGAAAAGGCCATATCGACGCACGACCGACAAGATCCAGCTGGTCATGGGCCGATACGACCACTCCGGCCACCCTCTGGGGATGGTAGTCGGCTGTCCATATTTTTTGGGTGGGTTGGAGGTGTTTTTGTTAACTTTTAAAGTTTTATTATATGAGTGTTTAGTAAATAAATAAATATAGGGAGTATTTTATTAATTTTTAAATTCTATATCATAATACCCGTCCGATTCAACTTTTTTCATAAAACTTTTCTAAAAAGTGTAAAAAAGTGAACCAAACGGAGCCTAGGTGTTCATGAATATTTTTGTAAATTATTTTCAAAATAATAACATTATTATCTAAAAATTTTAATAATTAAAGATAAAATTATAATAAAAATAAGATGATATTACCTTAGTAATGGAGGATTACACCTAGCCAAATGTCCCTTTAAGATAATATATTTTTATTGATATAACAGTTACAATCATACTACATTAGAACCAAACACCCTCTAACAGGTTTGATGGATTATATTTAGGTGATAAATGTATTTTTCATTTTCATCATTGTACTACTCATGCAGAATCGTGTTTTCATTTTCGTCAAACATGCAAATGGCATTTTCAAATTTCAACTTTTAACATAAAGGTTTAATAAAAACAATCCCCTTTAAATATAATTAAACAACAAAATTCTTTTTATAATAATAATAATATTAAATTTTTTATGTTAAAATAAATTATTGAAAGATAATTAGGTAATAATTAAATGATTAACAAGAGCTACAAATAATTAAGTCACCTGATCATATCATAAATTATAATAACAGTAGTATGTTATTTTGAATTTGAAATCATGTAAGTTAAAACACGCAACATTTGCGTCTCTTACTCTCTTCATGTCTTTTCACTTTTCAGTTGTCACTGTCAATCGGTCTGACTGGTAACTATGAACTCCGTTATAAGTGGCGAGCGGTTTTGAGCTCTGATGAGTAGAAATCATTAAAGTCTATTGTGTTCTGTTGAGTCTTTCTTCTTGCTCTCCGTGATCTCATCACTAAAGAAAATATTCTCAGGTATTAAGTCTCCATCTATTCTTTTTCTTCTCAGGACATGCCTGTTCCAACTTTTTGTTTTTTTCACTCTTATTTTGTCTCTGGTTTTGTGTTTCTCTGGTTTGAATGCACTAATCGTTTGAATTCCCGAGAACTAGTACTGTCGTTGTTGCCTTGTTGGTACTCATAATTGTTGGTGACATCACCACCAACATGGAAAAAGGCTAGGAGGATTCAGCCCGTGCCGGTAAGCTTACTAAATTCGGCCAGTAGTAAGCTTACCCGCATGGGCTGATTTGATTTGAAATTTCACGGCGTAGTGGTGTGATAAGCTTTCCTGTGTTTTCACTTTCGAGATCTTTAGGTTGCTTTTTTTCTTTTCCTTTTGATTTTTGTTTGAGCTTTTTTTTTTTTGTTTTTTTCTTTTGAATTTTCAGGTCTTGACTCGTTTTTGATGAATGCTTAAGCATTAGCATCACAGCTGCAGTAAGGTTTGCTTGCCGTAGATCAGTGGCAGAACTACTTGGTATTTTCTTTCTTCCCATCCCTCTGCCCTCAGCTCTTCATTGTTGATGTATATTCTATTGTTCATTTTGTGTTAGACTATTTGACTATGGCTGTTGTTAATTTTGTTCTTCATTCTGATTTTCTTCGATGAGTTATTTGTTGAAAGAAAGGGCACGACGCGTAGGCCAATAATCAAATAGAAAAGTAGAAAAATCATCAGAGTTTTTAAACACAGCTTAGGGGAGAAGTCCAGTCTTTATGGAACATAGCCAAGCGTTGGGCTTTTCTCTGGGCTTCCATTTCCCAAATTCAAGACTTGTAGTTTGTTTTTTCTTCATTCATGATGCAATTGGGAGATGGTGGTGATTCTGTGTCGGGGCTCTTTGCTTGTTGCTGTCTTTGGACTTTATTTTTGGAATGTCTTAATCAGTCGGGGTTTAGATTTCGGTTATTTTTGAATTCCAAACTGTTAATACATGTAACGCTTCAGGCCATTCCTTGTTTCTGTGGACTGTTTGTTTACCCTTTCTTAGATCTTTCTTGAGTGCAGTTATACTTTGTTTCTTGTTAAAAGAAGTTTTGAACTCATATTTCTGTGTATTCAGAAGTGGATTATGATCCTGTCATGTTTGGGCTAATTGATTATCTTTGCCAGAGCCCGCATATCATGTCATTAAAAATGCATTTGACTGTCTCTAGTGTCTTACATGATCAGGATAGAATAGGTGGAAAAAACATACATTTTGGAAAGCTCTGACCCCTCTGAATCGGATAGAAGCTCTCCCTGACCAGGGAAAAACAATCGTTTCCATTTTTTCTGGCTGTTGAATGGTTGCATTTATGGTTTATTAATCTGATTTAGAACAGTGAAGTTCCAAGGGAAGGAAATACCTTGGTAAAATAATAACTAAAGAGAGAAAAGAATAAGAGTTATCATTTACCTGTTTCTCTGTTTCACTGTTTTGCTCATACATAAACAAGCTTCTTCTGTCTTTAGTTGTTACATTAGCCACATGCTTCTCCTGTTTGTTGTTGCTACATGTTTCCACAAAGAAATAAGCTTGTTTCATTGATATGTAGATGATTATTTCATTCTTTCTGAGCTCCTTGTACTGTTGCTGTTGCCATTGTTTGGAGATTTTTATATTTAACCTTCTCTGCAATATACAATCTTGCATGCTTTCTGTTGGTTTAAAAGATTGGATGTGCTATTTGCCATTGATCTCCCTATGAAAATGCTATTCTGTAAAATTAGTTCAGCAGCTCCTTACCAATCGTTCTATCCTTTAGTCGTTCATTTCTCTTAGTTTTCTCTTAAAGTTGATTTGCTAATGGTATAAGCATGTTGTTTACTAAACTAAGTAGTTAAGGTTATATGATAACCTGTCACATATATGTTGATTTGTTCTGACTGATGCTGAAAAATTCCAGGCTGAGTTTTATTACTTGAAGATAGATGCACAATGTCACATCTAAGAGAGGCAAATTGGGAAGGGAATCGTAATATTAAATTGAGCATCAATAAGGGAGTTGGTTGCATGAAGAAAGACTGCTGCTTTTATAAATCCTTTACGTTGAAGGGTGTAAGATACTCTCTATATGATTCTGTTTATGTTTACCAAGAAGATTTCCCTGAGGCGCATATTGGTAAGATTGTGGAAATCTATAAGACCCCAGCCAATGAAACGGGAATGAAGCTTGTATGGTTTTTTCGTCCAAATGAAATATGCAATTTCTTAAACGATTATAAGCCAAGCTGGAAGGAGATATTTTTAGCTTCAGGAGAGGGCAAGGGACTCTCCAATATCAGTCCTTTGGTAAATCCAATTCATTAGCCTTGTTTGATATAGGTTCCTCCTGACAGATTTAGGATAATATATATATTTAACTTGTTATTGTTACAAGGAATTCCGGAACTCCAATAGTTTTAACAGCTGTGACAAACTGTTTTTTAAGTTGCTTGCATTTTCATGTTTCCTATTTCAGGAAGCAGTTATAAGGAAATGCAATGTTCTCTGTGCATCAAATGACTGGAGAAATCCTCAGGCATCTAAACAAGAGTTGAGCAAAGCTGATTACATTTTTAGTCACACTTTTGATGTTGCAAAGCTCAAGATAGAAGAGAGTATCCCTGAAGAAATAGATGGGGTAAAAGGTTAGTTTATTAGTGGATTTCCTCTCATTTTAATGTCATAGGATTCTGTTATATGTATCAATTTCCTTACCTTCAACATTTCTTTATTGATCAAATTTTCTCTTGGGTTGAATGAGCGATTGCTATTAACATTAGTTATGAAGTTCACTAATTTGAATGAATGCAGTCGAGCACTTTTTCAACCCAAAAAAAGATCAAGCACTTGTTAATGCTCATAATTCTGAAGAAAATGTTAGAAAGGGGACTGGAAAATCAAGTTCGTCTTTGAGGTTTGGATTGAAGAAAGTGGTTAGCAGCAGAGTTAAAGTTGGCAGTTCGGGCATCAAACTGAGCCCAGTGGTGAAAGGTGATTTTCTGAAGTGCCTTCTTCACACATATTGCTTCTAGTTTAAACTGATAAAATCAAATTAGCTTGTTATCTAAATTTTCAGGAGCAAAAAAGCCTGCATTTAATATGGATAAGCTAGGGTGTCTTCTGAGGCCTAAATCTACTGCTACAAAGTGTGCAGCAGGAGAGAGATACAAGAAAAATATAGATGAATTAGGAGGTTGGTTTACTTGTTATTCCTAATATATTCAAAGTCAGCACTGGTTCTGCCTCTTAATTTAAAACAGACATTACAGGATGGACTGGAGAATCAAGCTCATCTTCCAGGTTAAGATTGGAGAAAGCAGTCCACAATGCAGTTAAGGATGACAATTGTGGCAATAGAATAAACCCTGTGGTGAAAGGTGATATTTGGGAATGTCTTTCATATGTCTTCCTTGTAAATTTAACTGACTGGATAAAGTTAACTTGTTTCCATCACGTTCAGAATCAAAAAAAGCTGCAGTTCCAGTGGACCAACAAGAGCATTTTCCAAGTGATAAAAGGAAAAAGAATGAAGCACTCATTAGGCCTCTTAAGCCTAAAGCAAGAGTGAAAGAGTGGACTGGAAAATCAATTTTGTGTTCCAGGTTTGAATTGGATAAAGTAGTTGGGCGTGTTGTTAAATTTTCCAGTTCTGGTATCAGAGTGAGCTCAGTGGTGAAAGGTAGTTTCTAAGAATACTTTTCTTTACATGTATAATTCTTAATATAACAGATTATCTGAATTAGTTTTTGTTTCTTACATGTTCATTATCACAAAAAGCTGCACCAAATGTCGATAAACAAAGGCGTTTTTTGAGTTATAATACATCCTTGAGGCCTCAAACATCTGACAATGATGGTACTGTGCCTCAAATTGGCTGCATGCAACTTGAAAATGAGGCTAAAATGAGACGTTCCGAGGATATTATACAACGAAGTGCATCCGATATCCCTTTGAAAAAGAGGAGGCTTCTGCAGTATAAGGAAAGCAAATATTTGGATGCACCAACTGCCCAACATGTCCAGACCAGGGGAGCCAAAACTGAGAGCCTAACTGTGGAGGTTACAAGAAGACCAGATTCTGTAAGATTTTGCAACTTGGATTTACTTTCTTTTCCCACAATCTTTTTTTTTTTCTTTCTAAAATGATTCAGATTACCTAACAGTGGCAACTGATACACATTTATCTAAGGGACAATAAATTGATACTTCTTTTATGTTGCTAAAGTTTTGTACGTCAATTGAAACCTTTCAGTTACTCTGTGATGGATTGGAATGATCATCTTTAATGTGAACTTTTGTATTTACATCCATTAATAAGGTTTCAAGTATGTCTATGTGTTCACTGTGATCAGTTAAGTCCTGATATAATTTGACTGCTATTTTATACAGTTGATGAATCACTCTCTCTTATTTTTATGAAGTTGGGCATACGTTAATATCACTTACGGATAGAATATTTAGCATATCAATGCATTGAAAGTTGTATTAATTTTTTTGTCTTTTTGTACATAAAGTGCATTAAAATAAATAAATATTTTGTTTGTTAGTGATCATTTTTCTAGTCATGAGTCGTCAGAAATGAAACAGTATTTTAAGAGACTTGTTTGTGAGCATTCATGCATTAAAAATATAAAATTTTATTTCCAAGTTTCTTTTGTGACTTTGAATGTTCTAATATATTCTATTTTTATTTTTTGCAGTACAGAAGAAGTTGGTTCAAGGAACTAGTGAGTTGTCTTTCCTCTACACATTACCATGAACTAATAGTTTTATGTTTGATTGTTCTCGCACATCTAAAATGGGGTTTCCTCCTCCTAGAAGTGTCTTTTGTTGCAGAAAATAGAAAGTACCAAATGCTTATAAACATAATTAAAATTTGATGAACTGAAAGAACAGGATAAAACCAGAATTCAATAAACGCACTTTGAGAATGATGTTAAACAGATAGTTGATCATGCATGAAACCTATTACAACTTGGTCTATTATTTGATGTGAACAAGAACATTTCACTGAAAAAGAGAGGCATACATTTTGTGTTTTCAACCTTAATCCATTGTGAACCTTAAATTGACTATCACAACAATTTTTCCTTGTTGCTGGAATTTCTAAATTTACTTACAGTGTTCACCTTGGTTTTCTTTTGATGATGATTTAGAATCTAATAGCTTAACACATCTTTAATCTCAAAAAAATGGTTAAACTCAAAATTCACTGAATCTATACTGTTATTTTTTTAATTATTATCTCATGTCACTCATTATCATCACTTTTTATCAGCCTTGGGAGAAAAGTCTACAAAGAGCAGATGAAGTAGGCTCCCTTGAATGCCTTGAAAATCTGGATCGGTCCTATATATCATCCAAAGTAGAGGTATTTGATATTTCTCCTTGCTAATGGCTCTTTGTTCAGTTAAAAAAATAAAAATTTCATTTCTGTATGTGGATGTGGTTCATGTTACCATCATTTTATCATATTCTGTTGAGCTTGGAAGATTTTTCAAGTTTCAGGCATGTACTTCTCACAAACCTGTGAATTTGATATTGTGTTTGATTTTACTTTAAGATGTGGTAACTCATATCCTCATATCCTTGTTTGTTGTGCATTTTTCAGTGGGTTGCATGAAGTGTTTATTTCGAAACAAAGTATGCAGCATGATGTACACAATATGTAGTGACTATGTGATAATGATTTTGTACAGAGTCCAAACATGGAGCTAGAGTGGCCAATTGCCTTGCAATAGAAAATAACCATATATCCATGCTATTTTCTAAAAAATATTTTTTAACTTCTGCACCATTAAAATAATACACGATGAATGGCTAAAGATAAATATGGCATGCTAAAATTTACAATAATCATATATCTATGTTATAACATAAACTTTTTGTATGTGTAGAATTATTTGCACTGTTTTAAAACCTGGTCCGGTCCGGCCGGTTTAATTGGTTGGACTGGAAACCGGTCACTGAGTCGGGCCGGTCAGAGTAAAAAACCAGGGGTAAGAGTTCATCCAGTTTGACCCACGGTTGGACCGGGGTTACTGTAGCAAACCATTGGTCCAACCGGCTTTAACCCAAAACCGGGTGAACTCTTATGCCCCTTCCCCATTTCTAAATTATAATTTTCTAAATCCCTTTACCATTTTCAATCGACAATCTAACCCCCTCTCATCTAGTGTTGCCTTCTTGATCGACCACCGCCGCCGGGAGCTTTGCAGTCGCCGTTCGACGAGGTACCCATCTCATTTCACCTTCACCTCATCTCATCTCACCTTGCTTTCATTGAGTTTTTGGCTCTCTAATTTAGGTTTCATTATCTGTTAAAGTGAAGAAGAGGAACATTACAAGAAAATCTCTACTAGAGTCTAGAATCAGAACAACCAATCTGAGTGAATCTTCGATTCTGCTGTCTCGACAGGTAAAACATCACTTATTGTTATTTTATTCCTATATAATTGGATGCTGGATTGGTTTGATGATAATTCGATTTGATGGGTGATTTTAGTTTTTAGTAAGGTAAAGTTTGGTTGTTTATATTTGCTAACACGTCATTGGTTTAGATTGTAGTTGCATAGCATCCGTTTGTTTGCAATTCTGTGAAATAGAATTGATCTTTTTGATAATTTGGTTTCTTAATTTTCCAGTTTGTTTGCAATTCCGTGAAATACAGGCTCTAATCTAATGTGGGTTTCTAGACATGTAAAGATATATGGTGATATAATGGCGACGAGTACACATGGAAGATTTTGTGAAGATGATAGCTGTTTTGTTGAAGAACTGGAGCTTCCTGAATCAAAGCCACGAGTAGCCAGTAGCCACATATGAATCCTACCATAACCCGAAAGCTATTAATCCTTAAATCTTTTAGATTCTTCCCTTACCTCAACCTCTCCTAAAATAATGCCGTCCATTTAGACATACTTAGTATGTTTCTCCATAGTTTATTAGTTTCTGGAACAGGATTGTGTTACTTTGGATTTCAATTCTATTTCTTTATCCTTTCTTTTTCAACAAACTTATACTTAGTATGTTTCTCCATAGTTTATGTGAATCTCAATCTCTCAAAGTTTCTTTCTTCACGGGGATTAATGTTCAAGTAATCAATGTAAAGTAGAGAAATTGAGGGTCCATTAATTACAGATATAGCACTCTTTTTAATTTCTTATAATTCGTATTATTCTTAATTTAGAAAATTGTTGGGGAGCTACCTTGGTCAAACTTTTCTGATACAAATACAATCAGTCCAGGACCAGAAAGTTCTATTGGTTATTTTTTATATTATTATTTTAGACTGTGGAACTCTCATTTTTGGAAATTGTTTGAGCTTTTTTGTTTTCTATTTATGATAGTTTCCCACATTGTTTTAAAACTTGACCCGTCTTGGTCGGCTGGATTGGGACTTGGCCGGTGAGCCGAGTTGGGAGAGTCTAAAAACCGATGGGCATTCTCCTAGATTCACTTGGGGTTGGACCTGTGGTATTGTAGCAACTTATTGGTCTTATCGGTTTATGGAAAAAATCGGGTGAACCGGACACCAAAAAACGACAACTTTCAGTCGGCTTTTGGTAGGCAAACATGAGGGGGTTTTGAAGGGTGGATCACAGTGAGTCTAGAGGTGGTGTTTGATTAAGTTTTAGTCATTGGAATTGCTAGAATTTGGCCAAGAAACGGTAGAACCTTAACTTTTGATTGTTAGCGATTGGTAGGTGGAATTGCCTAGGAACTTTGGGGGTTTTGTAGGGGAGTAGCCGATGAGTCTATGGGTGGTGGTGGTGGTTGGAGTTGTCGTAGCCCAAAACGGTCGGAATTTGGCAAAAGCACAGGCAAAAAAACATGTTTTCCATCATCGACAATTGGTGAGTGGAATGGCTTTGGAACTTTGGGGGCTTTGTAGGGGAGTTTAAGGGTGGTGGCAGTTGGAGTTGTCGTTGCTCAAAACAATTGGAATCTGGCAAAGGATAGTCAGAAAAACATGTTTTTCGTCTCTGATGATCGGCAAGTGATGAGAAGGGATAAAGGATATGGTTTTGAAGAGGAGAGGGTGTGGGTTCCAGTGGTGGTGATGGGGGTGATTTTGGGTGAGAAAATAGTCGGAAAAAGGGGAAAGAAGGTCGACATTGATGCTTGCTAACGTGTGTCGGAAATAGTTGCCATGCTAACGTGCACCAAATTAAAAATTTTTGCAATTTTTCAGGTGATACGTCATCGGTTTGACCCATCGGTTAAACCGATTAAACTAGTCAACTCGGGACTTGGCTTCTTTGTTGGGTTTAGCCCAAGTTAAAAACATTGGACTTTCTCAATCCCTTTATGATGATCTATATTTTTATTATATATATTTTTAATGGTAATAATTATGTGAACGAAAGAGACATTTTAGCTTCAAAGGAAGTGAAGAGATTGCTGATGTGTGAATTCTTAGGTCTAATTGTTCATTTATTTGTTTGAGTCTCGATTTTTCAGATTTTATTTTGTGACCGGATTAATTTTTTCTTTTTTTAATTTTTCATGTTGGATGATGTCATATGCTGATGTTAGCATGATGACATCACTAATTTGACTTGCTAGTTAAACTGGTTCAACCGATCGATTTAGGACTTGGCCATTTTGCCAGGTTTTCACCCCAGGTCGATTATTAAAACACTGATTATTTGTATCCCAATCCATGTGCCAATTGAGTTGGTAAATTAGTTCACTTACTCCATTACCTTATAGTTAAGGAGATATTGCCAAATTAAATGCCACATGAGTTAGGATACGAATTTAGGATCCCAAGTCTGTGTAGCATTATTGATTATTATAATACTATGAGTAATATTACATTTACAAAAAGTTTATACAAAGTCTTTCTTCCAAAGTGACGTGTTAGAATATGTTTGAATAAATTAATATGAAAAGCCAAGTTAATAAATGCACATTACTTGGGAACATGTAGCATTCTTCCAAAATTTATGCTCATTGGGAAATAGTATATGTTGGACGTTAATCTTAACTATTATAAGTTCATAAATTTAATGGTTGAAACTAGTGTCAAGAGAGCCAAGCCGCTTGTAGCTTACTCGAGCTCGACAAAGGATATATGCAAGTTTTGCAACTGTTAGGGAGGTCTTTGTAATTTACCATTTTGCCTTCTAAATTATGCTAAAGTGACATTTACATCCCATTTCAATAATTCAATTCGAATATCAAACCTTAAATTCTAATTCTTTCCTGTTAGAATTGGTGAACTTTAGTTAACATTTAGGTACCTATTTTTAAAGTGCAGCGGAAGTTTTTACCGAGTTGATTAATGGTTATCAAGTTAAGCATGAATTAACATTCATAAACAATAAATGTAAAGCACACCAGCATATACATGGTTCGGTTAAAACCACTCTTAGTCTACATCTATGAGACCTTGTCCAAATCAAAGCAAATATACTAAACAATAAATATTACAAGATATAGTTTTTAGCTACAACAAGGAGAACTCTCTGTTCTCGTTACACTAAACACTACCTTCTAAATCTCTAATGTCTCTTTGTGCCAAGGACCTCTTCACGTCGGGAACACACCCCAAAGAACACTTGAGCTCTACCTAAGCTTCACACGTCAAAGCCACGCTATAGCATCAACAATGGAACCAAGTTCCAACCGCCCTTCAACAAGGATATGAGATGATGAAGGTTTGACACAATAACATATGGTGAGCCTTTAAGGAATAAAACTCTCTGAAAAATTCAGAGCACAAGCAAAAATAAAATATCAAAAGGTTAGTCACAAATAAGCAAGAATAAAGAGGAGTTTTCTTGTTCAACAATTTATGCCATGTCAGCAAACTAGGGTTGACTCATGTTTGTCTAAATGAGGAAAATATTCCCACTTTATTTTAAGACCACAACCAAATTGGGAAAAAGCATGATTTTTCCGTTGGACCGCAAAAGGATATTGTGACATCGGTAGGTGGTCCTTAAGATAGCTCAAAAAATGGGAATAAATATCTTTGCTATTTTGACAAAAACACATCTTGTGCCAAGTTAAGAATGTCCGACGTAAGTGAGTGAGCATAGGACTATTTTGCACACACTCGACACGAACAAGCCAAAAAAATGTAACTTTGGCAGACATGTGCACATGCAAAATTGTTGCGCACACATATAGCATAAGTTTGACAAAAAAAATTCTACATCTTCGCAATTGTGAGTCCGTCGATCTCTTCATCTCTCTGCAACTGCGAGTCTGCCGATTTGTTTAATAAATTGTTGAAACTGGTTCAATAATTTTATAACTCAGGGATGTTGACAAACTCCTCCTTTAGTCACAAAGGCTATACAATTTGTTTGACAAATTGTTGAAGAAACTTTCGGGTTCAGTGGTGATACTTGGTTCGAGGATGTCGGAACAAGGAGATGATTGCAGGGATGTGGATGAGAGGCTCAATATGTTGTTCCCATACAATATTGAACTTGAAGCCCCTGAAGAAGAAAATAATCAAGTTAACTGGAAAGCCCAACTGGAAGAGGATATGAAGACTCTCAAGTATCAAGATAACAAGAACCACATTGCTGAGGTTCTTGTAGTAAATGATATTGATTGTGATGATTTGGGTTCAATTTGCCATGCAGCCACAGTGGTTCTCAGTAATTGCATAGAAGACATTGTGGTATCGGAAATATCTTATCATTTGATGAATAATAAGGATCCGGAGTACAAAAATAGAAAGCTTCTTATATCATCCCAGAGGAGGGTGCAAATTCCGATTTCTTAATCAACTTTTTGTTATGTTTTCTTGTTTTTTCACTAGTCAAATATTGAGGGTTTAATGTGATTACTGTTCTGGCTTTGGAATAGCTTGTCCCATGGATTGAACATCTTTTAGGAAGGCAAAAGTTCTGGGAAAGGTGCCCTCAAATTGGAGACCAATGTTGACAGTTCCAATCTAGTTGAGCTGGAGCTGGAGCTTGACTTGCGTAGGTAATCGAGGGAGCTTGAGTCGAGTTCGAGCCTCTATAATTCTGTTGAGCTCAACATTTGAATTTCGATCAAGCTTGAGCTAGTCAATACTCGGCTCAGCTCGACTCAATTACACCCCTAGTTGAAACTCTAGTAGTCCTGATGGGATTAAGTGGACATATATTCCTGTGTATATAGCTGAATTTAATCAATGGATTCATCATATAAATTAGAACACAGAAATATTACATGTGAAAAAAGAAATTAGCTAACTTTTTTAGTGCTATAAATTAATTAACTTTTCAAGTCCAAAGATGCGGCAGACACTGCAATATTAGAGTTAAGAAGGAGATGCCTAATGCTGGCAGGTGGGAGGTACTTTATCGAACTGGCATCTTCTTTTTCTACTATTTCTGCTCCATGATTGTTTCTTGATTTTTGGTATGGAAGGTATCCATTACTACTTAGACAAATCATCAAATTCCCAAATGTTCAATTGAGAGGACAACTATAGGAGAAATTGGGCTACGGAAATTATTTACATTAATCCAGTTATAATGCAGAAATGAATTATCTTAAAAGTAGAAAATGTAAAGTAGTTAATTCTAATAGGTCGGCCAATCACTGGCCTTTGTAGCCAAATGTATTACTACATGATGTCATTACCATCTTTTGTACCATTTGAAAGAACGGACTTGATGTGTGTGTCGTTAGCATAGAGCGGACTTGGGAAATGAAATCTTCTACCATTTGAAAGAACTAAATCTAAAAAATTCTATATTATTGATGCATCAACCTCTTATTCTAGAAAGTAGTTGGATGCTAAATTGCAAAGGTCAAATAGG